AGGAGACCAAACAGCTGTCTCGCTTCTCCCTAAATACCTACATTTCGTGGGCCAGAAAAAGTGGTGGCTTGCTCGTGCTGGTGAGATCTTAGAGAGCTGACTAGGAGATGCCCAGGGAGCAGAAATGTTGAGTCAGAAGAAACCATATTTATATAGTGACTTTCCTTCCCGTAACCACACTTTAATTACCAAATATTTATTAAAGGTCACAAGCATTGTTTGTATTCCCAGTTATTTTCTTGCATAAGCTCTAACAGCTCAAGTAGAAGATAGTCACCATAAGATGTGTTCAAGCATTGCAAGTTATAATCGATGTCATGCTGTTGTTAGGAAAATGCCATTAATGATTGATTTCTAATAAATCTGAGCCATTATAGCTCAGCTGTTAACCTAATTCAGATAACAAAAGTTTAATCCCACCTCCATCGAAACTCATGTTAAACCAGGAGGACATGATGAAGTGAGAGCAGAACCAGACCTAAAATTTGGGAGTTTAATCATTCTTCTGGCTTGATGATTGCAGGAGGTGGGGTATTTGCAGAGCGTTAGCAGCGGGACAGTGCTGAGCAATAACAACTGTGAGGAGCCAGCGGGTCGTGGAGGACTTGGCAGGATGCGACCCGCAGTGATTAGGAAGAGCCCCCTCATATAGGGTGTGAGGCTCCAGGCTGGACACACAAGTTATCCTTTGTTTTTCCTGCAGAGGACCCAAAATGCTTGGGGGGGCGGCAAAAAAAGAAAAAAAGGACATTGAGCATCACTGACAGAATTAAGTGGTGGTTTTGAGCATGGGAAACTGAGGCAGGAGACAGTGTAGGGGCCAACCCCTCCGAGGTGCAGAAGAAAGGGCATTTGGGCTGAGCACCTGCAGCACAGGCTGCACTTGCAGAGATGCTCTGCAAGTCTCGGGGGATGTTTGCCGAGACACCTAAAGCATCAGGCGGTTACAAAAACCGGCCGCAGCATCCCCAGCCAGTTGGCAGCAGAATCGGATTCCTGTGGTGGGATTTCTCCAGTCTCTTGGGTGCAGACGAGATGCATTTCCAAGCTTTCCTCTGCAAACATGATGGCTACGATCCCCCTTTTCTTTCCCCCTTGCTCTTGCAAACAAGGAGCCTGCGATCCCCGACTCCAAGAGCTGGTAATGACCGAGGACCACGGCAAAATCAGATCGGTCTGATTAAGCTGGGATTCCTCGCTTGACTTCTGTGGTTTTTCCAGGCAGATTTCCGAGGTTTTAGGAGTGCTGTTGCGATCCCTTCCCTCTAAGACCAGGTGGGTGCTGGAGCGTGCGGCACTGCTGGGGTCCCACTGCTGGCTCTCCCACGCCTGGATTGACCCTCAAAGTGACCTTGGAGGTAAAGCCAAAGCCACCCTGGAGCCTCAGGTCCCCTCGTGTCCGGCTCCTAGACTTGCTTTAGGATATTTTGCAGCTGGAACGGGTGAGTTTGCTTAATCCCTTGACAAAAGGAGCTGGCCCCTCCTGAGCCCATCCCAAAAGCAACCGGGGTGGGATTAAAGGGGATCTTTGCAAAGCAAAGGGGGGACCTGCGCTGGTGCTGCCATCCGCCAGCATTGCTGGTGGCTTTTCCTCTGGGATTCGTCCCCCGGCTGTGACCCCGAGCCCGCATCCGCTTTGGTGCAAGGGGTCGGAGGACCGGGCAGCCTCCCTAAATATTCCCCTGGCCAATGCACTCGCTTCCTCGCGTTGCCCCGTAATGTTAAACAGCTGCTGCGTTTCAGCCCCGCCGCTGGCGCGGTGACCGACGATTATCAAGGGCTTCGGTATGAAAGGCGCAGCGTGAAGGGAGCCGGCTCCCATCGAAGCAGCCCAGGAGCAATTGCAAACTGCAGCGCTCCTTGCGCCGGGATGCTCTCGGGATGGGGTTTCGCTTCGCGTTCATCCATGCTTGCAACGAGGTGGCTGCAGTCCTGCGTGTGCCTCAGTTTCCCCTGCCCTGAAAAGGGGTAATTGCTTCTTTTGCTGGCCAGCCCCAAATATCCAGCAAAGAGAGAAAGAGAAGAGGGGGGGAAAAAAAAAATCACGTGGCAAACAGAAAAGGGATGGGGCAGAGAGCTGGGAAGACAGGAGGGCAGCCAGGCATGCCGGCAGGCTGGCAAGGTGCCCCTCTCGCCTCCGGCTTGCC